GAGTCTCCTTCTGAACTCAACGGTTTTTTTACCTATATTGAATGTTCTCTGAGTAATGCAGGGCCTTTGATAGACACCACTATCTTTTAGAGTAAGTGCTGGCCGTACCAGGTGCCAAACTAAGAGTTCCGACGTGTGTTTTGTCGATATTCGGCGGCTGCTTGGCACAGCTGCAAGGGAGGGGCTCGGCGCATCAGTGGATCCATCAGCGCTCCCCGTGCGCTTCCTTGCAGATACTCCAGTTTTGAAATTGGTGCTTTTTAATACCCCCAGAAATGAATAGCTAATTTAGAGTAAATCTGTAAATTTCAAGAACAGCAGAATTTGTTGGATCCATAAATTTCAGGAGCGCTCATCAGCTGCTACCTTTCATTGCATAACATGAATGACGTAAGAGAAATACAAAATTGAATTCACACAGAAACATTGATACAAAACTGTCAGGTCATAGGATGCAGCCAAGATGCAAATTAATAACTTAGGAAAGTTAAAACACAATGGGCAGCAAAATGGGGAAAAAACGTGTAATGCAGAAAAAATTGGGAAGGGGACTATGTAAATCTGGGGGCCGGATTTTACCAGGGCAAAGGAAGGTTAACCGCATGCTCCGACTGTTTACATAGGTCTAGGTTTGACCGCCGTATATAGGCTGCCTCCAGGTAGCGCAAGGTACGAGTTGTTCGTGCTCGAACAAGTACTCGGAAGGAAGTTTTAGGGTCCACAGAATGGCCCGTATCTAACAAATCTTCGGTAATGGAGGAACGAGGCGTTCTATGTTTCTGTTTGGAAGGCCAACTAGGCAAATGCTCCTCAGCTCTGGCTGCCAGTTGTCTTTGCGTTCGCCCTATGTAATTACATCCGCAAGTGCATGTAAATTCATAGACACAGTTGGAAGTGGCGTGCAATGGCAAGGCATCCTTCGCACCTGAAATTTATGGATCCAATAAATCCTGCTGTTCTTGCAATTTACAAAATTTGCACCTGCGAAACTCTGCTTTAAATTAGAGTAAATCAATTTTTTATACTTCCAGCTGCCTGTTGGTAGTCTACTAAATATTATGCGGTTATTTCGCTGTGACTGGTGGACCTTTGCTCAAATATTAATATAAACTTAGGTCCTGCACCTTTAGACCGTCGAACAAGCTGATCTACTCCAAGCTAGCGATTAGTTTCTGGCAAAAATACAAAGCGGGAATAACCCAGCTCTAAAAAGCAGTAAAAACTGTAAAAATATTGCTTCACCGCGATACAGATAGCATTGGAAATTTTGCGGAGGAGGATTTGCATGTGAGTCCAAAATTCAAAAAAATATATATATTAGAGATATGCCAACATCGGGACAGTCTCACCTCCTCGAAGAGTTGAAGAGAGTATGTGTTATCATCATCGGCCATGTATACGACCCCTTTGTCTTGGTTATGGACTAGGTTCTCGCGAAGCCAACGAAGACCACGATTTCTCTGGGCCACACCCCGCGCGTGTCGCCAACGTGGTTCTTGAGGCCGCTGAACCTCCGCAGCGGG